TCTCTCTCTCTCTCTCTCTCTCTCTCTCTCTCTCAATAATAGATAAATGCAGTGATTTAAACTATGAAAGCCATCTTATGATGTGTATATACAATTATTTAATTATCTTATAAGGAAAGGGCGTTAATAATGTTCATGTAACTTGTGCCCAATCCTTTTGCATTTTTTTGGCAATAAAATATGTTTAAACTAAATCTTAAAAGAAAGCGTCGAAATTTGAGAAGTATCCATTCTTAGGAATACTGAAAATCATCAGTCATCAAACAAAATAGAATTCACGTAAAGCAAGTATACGTAATCGTGTCAATGTTTCTGATTCCTTATCTAATAATTCAGTTGGATTGCAGGTTTTGAAGCACAGGTAATGGCGTTAGATGAAATACAAGAGTAATCCCGCTTGGATGTTGATGTATTAATCAATAAACTCATATCTCCACAAGAAAATTTGTCCAATTAAAAAAATCAATGCCCAAAGGTTAATGCTCTTTATTCCGTAGGCGTTCAAGCTTAAGCCTGTCGTAGGTTGTAAATACAAAAACCTAAGTATGTACATCTGTATACAAACAAACGGAGAGTGATCCAGGACGCAGTATTTACATACTTATATGAAACAGTACTGAATTATCCTTTTTGGAAATGCCACATATATATAAATATACATGTTTTATTTAATGTTAAGCATTATTTAATACTTGACAACTGAAATAAAATATTTTTGACATAAATTATGAAAATGGACATTGAAGTAAGATTTCTTCGAATTTGGCTAAGTACAACATGTATACATTCTGTTATGTCTCGAAAAGTTTTCGTCTGTCTTTCTCTGTGTCAAGATTACTCAATGATAGTATAATACTCCATGGATAGGTTTTGTACACTGAATAAAAGCGAAGGTTATCTTCTTAATGTTGATATGTAGCAGCACGTGCTACTTCACTTGTTTACATTATTAAAAATATTTTTCATTATTCCAAATGTACAATTTTCCGTCCATTGTTAGATTCAGTTATGTGCTCTAGACAGACTTTTAAGACAAAATACACTAATATGTTTCCTGTATTTTTTTCTTCAATCCAAGTAGCTTCTTACAAATGTTTGTGTAAACCTTTTCTAATCTGGAGCTTTGTGATAACCCCAATATCACAAGCGTGTCCTCAAACACTGGTGACATAAGTATCAAATACAGAACGTTGTGCCTTTTTATAAAAACAATGACTTTTTTAACTTACTATTTGCTGCAAATATACGCCTTCCTACGTTGATATTAACAACTTGATTTTGTTGTTTTATCAATTTTGCCTTTATGAGAGCCACGTGTGTAGGAACAGCCAATTTTCGTCGGATTGATGTCAACCCCCTTTTGCGATAAAAAAATATTTTAAATCTTTTTAACATTAATTTAATTTCCAAACTTGTGTTTCTCTCAAACTATTCACAAAATCTTCTAGCATACAAGCGTGTTTATATTCAGTGTTATGTTTCAGTAGTTTGTGCTCTAGTTCTTCAAATCATTCAGATGAAGACTACATTGTGTATAAAACTACTATCTATATTACAAACGTGCCTCTCATTTTCATCCATAGCACATGATTATTGTCCGTTCTTATGGTATTGACATACGTAACATATTTGTTTCTAATCATATCTGCCATACCTTAAGATTTGATATTTTACTAAGGATGCTCTATGTGTTTAGAGTTCATATAGTGTGTACCATGATGAGCCTGTGTCAAATCTTATTATGATTCGAATACACCAACATACCTTGTCCCCGGGCTTAAACGACCTTAGCTGTTGATATGACGTTAACATGTACAACCAACCAACTGTTAAACTAATAAAATTATGACGCTCTCCTCTTTAAAATAAGTTTGATGGGACGGAGATTTGATGCACAATGCACATAATGCATTCCTGTGCACTGGAGCATGTTAACATGTTTTCATACACGGATACAAATCCCGTTAACTGCACATGAGCTTGTGTATTTCAACTTTATATATAAGATATGTACAATGCCGAAGTGTAGGTATAATAAAATGACGTGTAGTGTGTTCTCAATAAAATCTATTCGATATGATGACTAAGTATGCTATGATATGTAAATTCGACAAGTATTTTCGCGAAAAATAAAAAAGTAAATAATATTAAATCAGCAAAATATGTGCGTTAATGACCCATAATGTACTTACATTTTAGTTCAACTTAAGTCGATTGATGACAACATTAACTCGAGTGAGCTTGAAGTGATGTGGTGTTTCCCAGGTGAGGTTTGTCATGGGAATACAATTATTATTGCTATTGTGACACTTTTTTGTCATCCGTTAAGGTAACGAAACAGAAAACGATTGAACGTTGAGAATGCTACAAACGATACATGAGCTACCCAGTAGGCAGCACTGGATTGTGTTGCCTGGAGACTTTAAGGTTTGTATTTCAGAATGTTACATAGGTTTTCCAGCAAATCGATAAGTAACCGTAGTTGATCTCAAGCACACGTTAAGATCTCAAGCACACGTTAGGGTGCTTGAGATATACGCCACCAATGAATGGCGAACATAAATGTGCTTTAAATTTCGTTGCAGATTTTCGGATCATATTTGTAAACATTGTTTAGTGTAGCTTTATCATGATATTTCAAAGCGAAGTAGAAAAACGACAGGTTAAACAATAACTTCCTTACATATTGTGTAGCACGCACGAACCGGGGCGGAGGAGGGGGGATACCAGGAAGATACAGTTACTGTACCCAGTATAACCCCGTAATTCTTAAAGGTATGGTGTATAAAAGGGAGACAACTTCGGAACTTCCTTAACTGAGGGCATCAGTATAGTCTTACCATACCTAACTGTGACATCATCGCCTGTAAGTATTTTTACTGCAAATCTTTTGTCTATAAAATCACATTGTTTTATCCAATATATTATATATCTATTACAATTCAAGTAATGTTAAACGAATAAAAGCTGGACAACTACGCCGTTACCTGAATTATTTTTCTTGTCGGTATTTATTACNAGTTACTGTACCCAGTATAACCCCGTTATTCTTAAAGGTATGGTGTATAAAAGGGAGACAACTTCGGAAGTTCTTGAACTAATCCACTTCTGGATCATCTAGGATTCAATTTCATCTACATGTTTCAAAATATCATTCAATCATATCTGTTTTCTTGAGTTCAGTCTTTGACTTAACTGAGGGCATCAGTATAGTCTTACCATACCTAACTGTGACGTCATCGTCTGTAAGTATTTTTACTGCAAATCTGTTTGTCTATAAAATCACATTGTTTTATCCAATATATTATATATGTATTACAATTCAAGTAATGTTAAACGAATAAAAGCTGGCCAACTACGCCGTTACCTGAATTATTTTTCTTGTCGGTATTTATTACTTGTGTGTAACATATAGACATATAAAGCCATATACGTCTCTGGTAATGGTGCTCATACGTTTGACTTCATCCTGACACTAAGTCCTTACATATAGGTACGTGTACATAGATGGACGTTTTAGCTACTGATTACAGTGTGTGAAGGTCAGACTTTTATCCTTCACTGACCAACGGTCAATTGTATCACACCCTATCGCATGTAACATAAGTGTTGCTGTAATAAGTACAGGGGGATTACTATTGTTAGGGTGTCGACGGTAACTAACCGCTATCGCTCTAACAGGTAGGCGATACAAAATTATATATATGTATATGTTAACACTGCAGACGCCATCTGCTGATAATATATATATAGCTTCTGATTCGACTGCATAATTAATGTTGATTTGTATACACTGTACACCTGTTACAGTGAAACTGGTGTGTATCACGTTAAACAGCTGTTATCCATCAGATATACTGATCAAATTCACTTTTATCTTTATTGTAATATTTATACCAGGCCCAAGTCTGTTCACAATCTGATTATGTACGGCAATTAAAAAAAATCGTCTGGCATAATTTCATAAGATTATACAACTTCAAAACCCAAATTGCGTATTTGTCGGTTCGACATAAGAATTGTGTACACACGCGGTAAGCTACCTTAAGCGTTCCCCACTGTGACACTCCACTTTGACCTTGCAGGTGACAGGCTACATGTAATGCCTGTGGCCTAAGCTACCCATATCGCCACACAATGAGACCTGGTAGTTACACCATAGTACGGAGAGAATGCGTGATCGTGTACAACATGGACTGGGCATCAGACAGATAAGGCGTGCTGCAGGTATTGTACATATCATACACGGACAGTTGTACTGTATTAGTCACTGATTGAACTGTTTTGTGACTGTTACACTACTTCCGCATCCGTGGTTTCTGGTCATACGCGAGTAGACCATCAGCTAACGTTACGTGAGAGTTGAGTCAGTTACAAATATGACGTTCACCGACAGGTCAGTAAATGCGAATCAACTGCTATTTGTGTTGATTAGACAGTATATATTTTACATTCATTGCACAATCGTTGTTTGTCTACAGTAGTGTATGTCCATTGTTTACATAAGGGACGTAACTCTCATATAAATTAAACATTTTTCGGCTTTTTTTTCATCAAGCTATATACGAGATTGCCAAACAAAATCGATGCAATTTAACATTCATTGAACCATTGCCGAACTGACCCAAAAAAGAAAACATGTCGCTGTATTAAACCACACGTGAGCGATGGTAAAACAAATTGTCATTTTTACTGATATATGCTTCATACCAAACTAATTGATTGTCTTTCGAATTCAAAATAATATATAATGCCATAGGAGCTTATATTGCTTGTTTACCACTATTCGTAGTGAGAACTTAACAATGCCCAGTCCAGTACGAAGGAGGAAAGGAAATGGCGAACAATAACGATTATTTAATCATTAGGAATACTAAACTTACATAGGCGAAATATTCCTCTTTGTCTTTTTATAAGTGTACAGTGTCATATTTACAAGTATATGGAAGCGGCCGACATTAACTCATCCACCCCTGAAATTTCATAATAAACTATTCCAACCTTTGAATTTGAAGAGCTTAAATGTGTCTTCAAGGGTGAATGAGTTAAGGTGTATACTTATGTACTGTAAAGAATGTCGGACAGAATACCCCTTTGTGTGTTTTTATAGACAATATTTTGTTAATGCATATTCCTTTTTTCACGTAGGGCTAAACATGTATCATGCAAGGTTTGATTTTATTCATATTGCCATTAACGTCAAACATCTGAACATCAATATTTCCTACATCCTCAAGGGACAGCTTAACCGTTTTGATGACTATCTATTACCTATGGCAAGCCAAGTTGTCATTTATTATTGGAGCCATGTTGATCCAGTACTTAACAAAATTATATAAGATAATATCTTATATATTATATAAGATATTTTATTTAAAGTTTATGAGATATCTTATATCTTTTATGAGATATCTTATATACTTTATAAGATATCTTTTAAAGATATAAGATATCTCATAAACATTTCTTTATAAGATATCTTATTTATTATATAAGATATCTTATATAATATATAGGATATCTTATATCTTTTATAAGATATCTCAATTATTTTATTTATAAGATATCTTATTAAGAAAGTTAATTGAGATATCTTATAAAGAACGAGACTCTCGCCAGACGGACAAAGAAGAAATGTTTGAAAATGACTGCTCCCGTTGTAAGGTCACATCCGTTTTCGTTGGCGATAATTTGGTTAAGTACTGGATCAACATTGCTCCATGAATAAATGACAACTTGGCTTGCCATAATTATATGTAGTTTCAATTTGATCCCATTGTCACAGGCAGCCATTTTCGATCAAATCCTCTCGGACATCCTCGGTTATCGATAGGTTCCGATCGCTGTAGGAGAGGGTTTATTATCTCAAATTCAAATCTCGTTCATTATAAGAATTCTTAAAACCGAATTATATAAGATATCTCATTTAATTTTGTTTATAAGATATCTTATATAATATATACAATATCTTATAAAAGAATAAGATTTCTTATATAATAAGATATCTCATTTAATTATTTTATAAGACATTTTATATCTTTTATGAGATATCTCATCTTATAAAGCAAAGTATATAAGATATCTTGTTAAGTATATAAGATATCTCATTTATTATATAAGATATCTCACAAAGTATATAAGAGATCTCATTTATTATATAAGATATCTCACAAAGTATATACGATATCCTATATAATTTGGTTAAGTACTGGATCAACATTGCTCCATGAATAAATGACAACTTGGCTTGCCATAATTATCGGTGGTATTTAGCCACAGGCAAACAAATTAACAAATCAACCTGCGCCAGCACCGAGGTAAATTATTCAATTGCATGTTGAAAATTCGTTCAAATTTATTCAAATCATATTTAATTCAAAGATACTTTTGGTACGTCAACTGTATATTCTATAACTGGGTATTCTAACTCGTTCCATGTATAGACGACTCGATCATGTCGACCCGGTGTTAAAATTGCTCCCTCCTCCCTAGCCCGAGTTTCCTCAAGCCCTGACACCAGACTTGGACATTTTGACAGATAGATGTCTGGGTTACCAGCTACTGTCAAAATGTCTAAGTCTAGTGTTAGGGCTAGAGGAAACTCGGGCTACCTCCTCTCTGGTCCTTAAAATGGAATCCTCTAATTTTCAATTAATCATTACAGATTGACGTGATGAGGTTGTATGTGATGACTGGTACTCGGGAGAGGATATAACTGTAGCCATACCCTTGCACCCGACAACCGAACTACGAAAAATGGCTGACGACCGAGAGCCGCTGTTAGCCTCAAGTAGTGAATGTGGTGGTTATGGATCAACTACCGACGGTGTCAAGGGTCTGGATTTGGAGGAACAAAGTGATGTCCCAGGAGACAAAAATAAGATGGACCTCAAAAGTCTCGTCGTCCTGCCTATCATATTCCTCTACATGTTTTCGTTCATCACAGCCTTCGCGAATGTGAGCCAGTACGGGTACTATTCTATAGGCAAGTCTATGTACCCAAATCAGTCCAACTGGGATAACGTGTCATCAAACCAGTGCGAGGCCAACCAATCCCAGCTATACAAAGAACAAACTCGCGTGCAGGAAGCCACTTCACTGTTCAACATCTACCTCTCTCTGGCTGGGGGAATCCCCGCCATCTTTGCCAATCTCATATTCGGTACCTTCAGTGACAAATTTGGTAGAAAGTTCTTGTTTATTCTTCCCGCCATTGGCTCATTTCTCCGATGTGTCATTGTTTTAATCGTTATGTATTTAGAGGCAGATGTTTACTTCCTTTTGATTGCGTTCTTCATAGAAGGTACGCTTGGATACTTCTTAGGAATAGCGCAGGCTGGCTATGCATACATGGCGGACATTACCGCCGCGAATGACAAGCGATCGTTTGCCATTACCCTTGTCGAGGTCAGCCTCGGTCTTGGTTCTTTCCTGGGGTTCCTGGTATCAGGGTATCTCATCAAGTCTATTGGCTTCACGTGGACTACGGTGTTTTCCGCCGGACTCTTAGTCGTATGTCTTATCATGATTATGTTGCTTTTACCCGAAAGTGTCACATCGGCGCAGATAACAGAGAGGCGGAAATGTTCAGATGTTATAAAATATGTTGGAAATGCCCTCGCATTTTATTTCAAACGATCTTCTGACAGAGAAAGGTGGAAATATGTTGTTTGTATATCTGTGTTCTTCTTGACCACGTTAACACTGCTAGGACGACCGTCGGTAGAAACTCTCCTACAACTTGGGTCTCCATTTTGTTGGGACCCTGTGGAGATTGGATATTACGGAACAGTTCGCAGTGGAGTCCAGCAGGTCATCTGCCTGCTGCTTGTCAAGTTGCTACAGTATTGTATGAGGGACGAGGCAATCGCTATTGTTGGGGCACTCTCTTCAACAGCGTCGCTCGTAATGGAGGGGTTTGTCACCACGGAAACCAGTTTCTACATAGGTTGGTATATTTTTATCGTGTATTTTGTCAGATTCTACTTTTTTTTCAATCTTGCTTTTCAAATGATGATTATTTGTATTCAGTGTCGTGTTTTGTATAACTTTTCTAACAATTCAAATGATGCAACATAAAAAGTCATTACTTTTATAAATATCATTAAACTTTTTAAATTTTTCATTAACTTTACATCACTTCATATTTTTTCAATTCCTGTGTTATCGACGATAAGCTTAACCCGAACCCATTGATCATATTGTTATAATCAGTGATATTATAATTAGTGTATGCAACTTACCGCCAATTGTATTATTTTACAGGCCCTAGTTGTTAATTAGCTGAATCTAAAAGTAGAAATTCAAGCTTTTACATATTTTGTATTTTCAGTCTTCGCTCTAGAGTAAATTGAAGGAAGTACACGATATTCAAATTAGCATGACAGCCCCTCACCTCCACTGTTTTCTTTACATCCTGATATTTCACCAGTGTAACAGTTTGTACTAACGTTGGTTACTTCCCCTTGTAGTACCTGTGGTTGGTGCAGGAGGTGTATTGACCATGCCCATGGTCCGAGCCATTATGTCCAAAATGACACCAGCTGACAAACAAGGTAAGCAGCAACATACGAACAGGGTTTAACAGAGGACATATCTGCGAAACGTTGGAACTGGATTTAACTGGGGTCAGAAGTATGAACAAAAATCAAATTTCCGAGTAACGTGATAAGTTTCATAGTTTGGTAAGGTATTCATTAGAAATTGTAGGCATATTTCGTGGATAAGTTGACGATGGTGTGTTGACCATAGATGTGATACAGATCTATGAAATATTTTAAGGCATAAATGAGATGGACAAGACCGACTTGTTTTACTATGTCAGATGTCAATTCGACAGATGCAACTTACACAAACACTTAGAGACAATGCCTATATCAAACATTATCAAGAACAGATTTAACAATTTCAGGTTAATGCTGAATTAACTTCCGCGTGGAAAATTAGCACATGACGAGAGACATACAGATAGGCAGTGTGCACACTCGACAATTGCCATCTGGTCCCATGGTCCCCTGCTGGTCGTGGTAGAGACAAAAACTATGTATATCCACTGTATGTATCTATAAGGTGGTGTATGCAGGTCCGTCCCCAGCAGAATTTGGGCGTTTCTTCTCCGTCTTTTGCATAGGGAACATTTAAGAAATCATATTTGATCCGCTGCCTTCATTGAAACAGTTTGGACCTTTTCTCGCCTACCTACTCTTTCTTTCCGACAAACTCTCCGTAGACATAGTATTAAACTTGTGCAGCTATATCGATCTCTGTAGACATAGTATTAAACTTGTGCAGCTATATCGATCTCTGTAGACATAGTATTAAACTTGTGCAGCTATATCTTTGTAGACATAGTATTAAACTTGTGCAGCAATATCTCTGTAGACATACTATTAAACCAGCAATATCTCTGTAGAAATAGTATTAAACTTGTGCAGCTGTATCTCTGTAGACATAGTATCAAACTTGTGCAGCAATATCTCTGTAGACATAGTATTAAACTTGTGCAGCTATATCGATCTCTGTAGACATAGTATTAAACTTGTGCAGCTATATCCCTGTAGACAGTATTAAACTTGTGCAGCAATATCTCTATACTCATAGTATTAAACTTGTGCAGCAATATCTCTATACACATAGTATTAAACTTGTGCAGCAATATTTCTATACACATAGTATTAAACTTGTGCGGCAATATCTATGTAGACATACTATTAAACCAGCAATATCTCCGTAGACATAGTATTAACTTGTGCAGCAATATCTCTGTAGACATAATATTAAAATTGTGCAGCTATATCTCCGTAGACATAATATTAAAATTGTGCAGCTATATTTCATTTCAAATATATTTTATTGATTAAACAAAAGGATTGAGCAACAGGCTTTGCCTATTTAAGCTCTCTCCATGGCTTCCAGCATACTTTTGATATTTGAAGACATTGAATACAATATTTACATACATACATTTTATTTCAACTCCCTCTTACCTCATTAATATTTTCATGTTTCTACAGAAAAAAAAAAGAAAAAAAAATCCTTGGAAAAAAAATACAAACTTTGCGATATCAATATTTAATATAGTTGTAAAATTTGTGTCAAGAAGAATTAAATATACCGTTATAAATATACACAGTATTCAAATCGAATTAAATATATGGATATACGTCTTGACCTTGAGCAACTAACATTTGCTACGGCAACATGAAATAAAGCAAAACTGATACATGCATGTATGCTGATAAAGAAATGTACCAGGACTTATTTGAAGTAGACATGTCTTGAGATGAGTTGGAAAATCAAATAGAAAATTAACTTAAAGAAAACAGAAAAAAAGAAAAAAGAAAAAAAAAAATAAAAAATAATAATAATAATAATATGAAAACACAAAAAGAAGACATAAATAATTATATAAGAACACAAAATAATCTCAATTACTCACTCATACACTCTAACACCACATTTGTATCGACAGGCATTGGTTTGTTGGTTTATTTAATGTAGTTTATATTTGTTTTAAATGAATGTGCAGTTGGGCATCAGATATACCACAGAGCAGGGCGTTACCATAATCCAACCGAGAGGTAACAAGTGAATGCCCCAAAATCTTGCATGCATCTGCAGTTAGAAACTGCCGAATACAGCCGATGTTCCTGATCTGGTAGTAACAGGATTTGGCAATAGCGTTCACTTCTTTCTCCATGTTCAGAGAACTGTCAAAGTATACCCCTAGGTTTTTAACAGCTGGAACAGTCTCACTAGTTCTGGCACCAACCTTGAGCTGGAGAGCCATTGTTTGCTGACACTTTGGGGAAAAGACGATTAGTTCCGTCTTTTCCTGATTAAGTTTTATCATATGTTAATGTTCCAGACAGAAGAACAGACAAAAAATGAACATTGAACATGTTTTTAATAATGCTTTAGGTACCATGTTTGCGGGGGCCGCCGCTTTCGAGACGATCGGAACTATGGTGAGCTCGGTTATTGCAAACGCCATTTACAATGCCACGGTCACCATACTGCAAGGAATGGTCTTCTTCGTGATGGCGACGTTTTCCTTTGTATCCTGTCTATTGTTGATGTAAGTATATAATATGCCCGTAGTGTTAGTTACTATCTGTTTACTGTTTAAAATACTACTTCTGTATGGGTTGGAATTTATTTCAACTTAATTTTGCATGAAGTATTCCTTGGAAAGACAGTTAACAGGAATATAATTACATATATATATTTATAAATTAGAAATTCAAACATTTCGAATTCGAAGGTACAACATGCATAATACAATTTTTTAGTGGTTCGAATTAGATTATATTTCCTTGGTATCTTTAAGAAGGATGCCAGGTCGTAGTACCCGGCGTACAACAAATTCCTTGCTTATACTAACCAAACTGATACGAATACTCTTCTGGTGGCCCTGAACAGCTTGTTTTTTTCGTGTTTGTTCCGAATCGGAAATGGCTGTCCTGGTCTCTGATTGGCCGTATCACCTTTAAGTTCTTATAGATTCCAAGCCATCTTGTGGTTTTTGATAAAACGTTTTTCAAAAACAATTCTTTCATGGCACTGACTAAGTAGGCTTTTTTTATTTGGGGGAGAGGGGTTGAACGAATATTCTTGATAGCAATTCTGTCTTCTGACTGACCGAGATATTTTCAAGTATTTCTTTTTCAAAGGATTCACAAAGGTCAATGTTCAAAAACACAGTTAAAGAGTTTCGCTTATTGCCCCGCAAAAAGACTGTGATTTGAATTGGCTCAGCAGATAAACCCATAATTGTTCCAAAGTTCTTAATTCGTTAGAAATATTTACAACCTCTCTCTGTTCAAATATCAAAGATAAGCGAGTTATACATGCCCTATGGGCCTCCTTTTGTAAAGCAAGTTTATATATATATACATATAGAAAAATCTTCTTTTGTTATTTCAGGCTTTTGCTGATCATTCCTCAATGTGGCGTCAAAAAGACACGTTCTGTTCAGCATGATATATTGACTGTGTAACAGTGTGATGGTGGGTTACCTATGGTTGTAATGGTGGGTTACCTATGATGGAAATGGTGGGTTACCTGTGATTTTAATGGTGGGTTACCTGTGATTTTAATGGTTGGTTACCTATGGTTGTAATGGTGGGTTACCTATGATTGTAATGGTTGGTTACCTATGATTGTAACGGTGGGTTACCTATGATTGTAATGGTGGGTTACCTATGATTGTAATGGTGGGTTATCTATGATTGTAATGATGGGTTACCTATTAATATAATGGTGAGTTACCTATGAGTATAATGGTTGGCTACCGGTAGTTGTGATTGTGGGCTACCTGTGATTGTAATGATGGGTTAACTTACCTATCATTGTAATGGTGTATTACCTATCATTGTAATGATGGATAACCTGTGGTTGTAATGATGGGTTACCTATGGATGTAATGATGAGTTACTTATAAGTGCAATGGTGGCTGAGCCACTGATAAAATTGCGAGTTAACTATTGATTGTAATGATTGATTGCATATGATTGTAATGATGGGTTATCTATGACTGTGATGGTGGGTTACTTATAAGTGGTGTATAGGTAGGTAGGAGTTTAATGGTGGGTTACCTATTGGTGATGACCCACGGTTATCATTATGAGCTACCCAGAGATTTACTGCTCCGATGTAAATATATCTCAGTTTTTGAGGAAATAAACATATGATGATGATGTGGCAGATTCTCGCAGACTTAATGAAAATATTGCGTTTCGTTTTCCGATAATTACTTTTTTTTTAATAACTAAATCGCCCTCGAGGATTATTATTAATTATGATTAAAACCCGTGAAAATAAACATCTCAAGAAAATTGTTTAAACTGTTATACTACATTTGTAATAATAACCAGTACTGACAACACGGAAAAATAATAGTGGCATATTTTTTACCATAGTATAAAATACTTCAAATAGTCGGAATAACTTTCGTCCGTTTAGTATGAATAATAGAGGCTAAGTTTGTTTTGAACACAAACAGGAATTGAAAAACTGAAAGTTTTCTATTCCTGTCTGTGTTCAAAACAATCTTAGCATTTATTTTACTATAAATGGCATTGCAGATTTTGGCATATAAGTAACGCAAAAAATAATTTGCTGATCTTAACTTACCAGACTGATCAGACAATACTTCAGACAGGTTTTTAAACGATTATCTTTCATTTAATTAATATCTATGCTGTATGTCAAATTTGTTTCCGCGTAAATTCGAGAAACGACTCGCGATTTCAAATATGCTTGCTAATTAGTCGTTTGAAGAACATAGCGAAAGTAACTTTCCCCTTAAAATATGTGTTTTACAGTAAATGTTTACTCTCTTAGTAATAACTTTAAAAACAAATTTTATACTTTTGTATACTTATAGGGTTATCTCCCTTTGTTCATTGTTTTAATTTTTCATAATGAAGAGCAATCCATTTTTTTTGAAATGTTGTATTCTCATCTTAATCATTACACATTTCTATTAACTGATGTCAAATATCTGTTATTTTTAATAAGCTATTTGATATATAAAATATGCATTACAAAGTTAATCAGCTGTATTGTGAATATCGATGTGCCATATATTTAATCCAAGTGATGATCTTATTTGATTTTTAATCAATTAAAATTAATATACTTTTTTAGAAAATAGAAATTCACACACATAACTAGATACATTAAACAGCTTTGCCGTTGCCTTTTAAGATGTATTGTCCGGTTTTCCGCTGGCATTAATAGACATATTGCCTGGGGCTTTCTCTGACATTGCTAGATATACCGGTGATTTGAAAGCTTCCCTCTCACCTTATTATATATATAGTCCAGTTCTCCTCTGTATTACCATACATATTGGCTGGGTTTCCTCTGGTAATCACACGCACATTGTCCGACATTTCTTCGACCCCTTCACGTGACTGCTACTTACTTGGACGGATTTAGCCGTTAGAAGTGTTCGAAGCAGTCTTAGATTCTAGTCAGATCAGTAGAATGTGTATCCATTTATCTTTTACGTTGCCATGCAAAGGTCTTTCTGCCTGTAAGGTTAAATTTTAATTATATGTATATTAAAGCATTGTGTTGTTGAAAAAATGTGTATGCGCAAGTCTTTCTGCCTGTAAGGTCCAATGTTAAATACAATATATATATTTATATTAAGGCATTGTGTTGACAGATCAGCAGAATGTGTATCCATTTATTTTTTACGATGCCATGCAAAAGTCTTTCTGCCTGTAAGGTTCAATTTTAATTATATGTATATTAAGGCATTGTGCTGTTGAAAGAGTTATGCATGCGCAAGTCTTTCTGCCTGTAAGGTCCAATGTTAAGTACAATATAAATATTTATATTAAGGCATTGTGTTGTCAGATCAGCCGAATGTGTATCCATTTATTTTTTACGATGCCATGCAAAAGTATTTCTGCCTGTAAGGTTCAATTTTAATTATATGTATATTAAGGCATTGTGTTGTTGAAAGAGTTATGCATTCGTAAGTCTTTCTGCCTTTAAGGTTCAATGTTAAGTACAATATATATATATTTATATTAAGGCATTGTGTTGTTGAAAGAGTTATGCATGCGTAAGACTTTCTGCCTGTAAGGTCCAATGTTAAGTACAATATATATATATATATTAAGGCATTGTGTTGTTGAAAGAGTTATGCTTGCGTAAGTCTTTCTGCCTGTAAGGTCCAATGTTAAGTATAATTTATATATGTATATTAAGGCATTGTGTTGTTGAAAGAGTTATGCATGCGTAAGTCTTTCTGCCTTTAAGGTCCAATGTTAAGTACAATATATATATATTTGTATTAAGGCGTTGTGTTGTTGAAAGAGTTATGCATGCGCTAGTCTTTCTGCCTGTAAGGTCCAATGTTAAGTACAATATATATATATGTATCTTAAGGAATTGTGTAGTTGAAAGAGTTATGCATGCGTAAGTCTTTCTGCCTGTAAGGTCCAATGTTAAGTACAATATATATATGTATGTTAAGGAATTGTGTAGTTGAAAGAGTTATGCATGCGTTAGTCTTTCTGCCTGTAAGGTCCAATGTTAAGTACAATATATATATATATATGTATGTTAAGGCATTGTGTAGTTGAAAGAGTTATGCATGCGTAAGTCTTTCTGCCTGTAAGGTTCAAGATCAAGGTGTTGTTAAATATAATAATGTGCTTTTTAACATTTGCAATGTAATAAAGACCACGAAATATCGTAGCGAATTGAGATTGTTGATATTGTCTTTGCGGAAAAGGACACCAGCTGGTGGTTTTTGTCATGCCCATCCTTCTACATACTTAACTTAATCAATAAACTTAATCAATCAGTTTTTTTAAATAACTTGAATGATGAAAGTGCATCAATAACTGTATACCGGGAAATTTTCTCTCTGTCAAACTTTCGCCCTTCGCCTGAAAAATCAAAATTCGCGCAGCGTTAATTTCGCCGTTCAAATTTAAATACCACGTAAATTATGTTGTTAAATAATGTTCGCTGTAATGATGAATTCGCCCGCATTTCAGAAGGCTGTAATTACACTGCAGCGAAAAGATCCCGGTATACAGTAAAACGGCCAGTAACATGTAGTACCAGCATTGGACACGAAAGCTTACAGTGGTCATATTAACCCCATTTATGACTTGTTTTTGACTATCAATACCAACAAAATATTGTGCTCAACATTGCTTAGTCTCGAATAAATTCCTTCAATGTCGATAGTGGTTTCCGCGATCTTCTTGAAAGTTCTCAAGAATTTATTGAAGAGGATGTAGAGGCTATGGTATGACTGTTGGTGTTGGCATGTTGATGTGGTGCTCACGGAGTCGTTTATCTCGGACAAGGTTTGTTCGGAAAACAGGCGTTCGTCCGGTGACAATCCTGTTGTTGTTTGTTTGATGGGTCGACCGATTCACTTGGTGAGACCGACTCAGTTTTTCATGTTAAGACTTCCTTTTGTTTGGTTTTTATACTTTTCCTGAATCGTGAATCCGTCGTTCAACAAGTCCATTCACATGTTTCGTGCCATTCTTTGATAAAAGGTAGCAGTTTCGGAAACTGGAATTTCCAGCAAGCCATGTTTCTGTACGGTGATCGCAGACCTGGAGGAGTTCGTCAATAGAATATTTAAAAAGTTACAAGTTGCATTAACAACAATCGGATAGATTCGACCACGCGGATCAGCACAGACCTCCACTATGTAGGACCATCGCTACAATACATGTAGGTATCCCAACTAAGAGGCGACGTGGAGGCTTGGGGTGACACTTGTAATCGCCACGACTCGTAACTTTTCATTCGATTTTCGATTTCATCATAAATGCCTGGTCACCAGAAATGTAATCTGGTGAAGATTTTCATTTCGTAATGTATGTCTTCCAAACATTATCCTCGACTTGCTTTTTTTTAAACCATCAGTTTACCCAAATTGGAAATAGGAACTAGGGAAACCATTGAGACCCTTGAAGAATTTCAAGGAAAATAAAACCAAGTGTAGAATTCAACAAGTAGATCAGCAGAATCATCTCAAGGGACTAATAATTTCACAATTGTCTCACTAAGTGGTAGCCTGCTCTGCCCATTTGCGGTACTTTTTAATGTTCCCATACTAGGAACAGTGATGCATACTGGTACGTGACAAGGAACTGATCCCAAACGTCTGTGCATGCAGATGTCATGACGGAATTGCCCAATCAGAATAGAACATTTCCAACAAGGGTTTGGAATTTGTGTACATAGTAAATATCCGTTCGAATAGATATTTACTTTTTTAAACCTGGATTTTTTTTTTCTTGCCAATGACATCGCATGCGGAAAAGTAGCGACAACTTCTTCACCGGCCTGCTCAATTAATTAATCAGGCTTACCTATTCAGATGACATAATGCCATCGACAAATGCATCCAAACCATAGATATCCTTCGAGAAGGCCACTTCCGATTTCAACGGACGATACCCAACAGCAACAACTAGGCAGTGACATCCACCAGCCAGTGTCTAGGTTGTACTGTCCGAATATCCCAAATACTATCACTGATTCTAGTCAACCCCCAAATCATTCCAATACCAACGTAATCAGATAGGGATGCGAGGAGAGTGACCACCTCCAAATTGTATCATGGAACATTGGCAAAGGTATGTGTAGCAAACTTGATGAACCTGAATTTTGTAATATAATCAAAAATAAGGATATAATTTTTTGAACAGCATGTTGGATTACGGAGGAAGATGTTTTTGATATACCAAGCTATTATTATAAATTTTCATTTCCAAGGAAAATCAAAGGTGGAGGTATGGTTATCTTCTACAAACAATCGTTAAGCAACAATTTATCTCTTGAATATCAAATCCATAATAGCATTGTAATGCTTAAATATTCAAAACAATATATCAATAAAAA